AGGGATGGAACTCCTTGCACTTGCCAGGGAAGTGTTTATTCCTTTGAGCAATCTCCCAGGCCCAAAGCTCATTTCTTTCTAATATGGATGTCTTTTATTTCTTTTTCTTACCTTTTTCTGGCTAGGCTGTCTAATACTACAGTAAGTAGAAGTGAATACAGATATCTTTGTATTTTTCTGGTCATACAAGAAAAATCTATAGTCTTTCACCAACTCTGATATTAGCTGTGGATTTTTTTTAATTTTATGTATTTAGTACATAAAATTATTTCTGTATCTTATACAGAAAAATGGCATTGCGCATTTACCTCTTGGAAAACTTATTACACTGTATCCCTCAAGCAGCACATGACACTGGCTGTACGTCTCATCTGACCTGTAGGGGGCGACATCAGAATACTCAGTCCACACTATAGAAAATAGTGTCTACAAAGTGAATTTAGTTTTGGCTTTGTGCACATGCTGCCCGATTTCAATCCCTGGCCACAGCAGAGCTCTCTGAGTCCCTCCTGCATGTCCTCTTGTCCCATCACTTCTTCCTGGCGCTCGGTTTTGTTTGAACCACTCCTTACTGGCATCAACCTAGAGTTAACAGAAGGGTTAACTCAGCTGGGCAGAGGACAGAGGCCAAGCAATTCAATGGGGGGACATGACCACACCTCATGTCCCCCTACAGCAGAAACATGTAGACACAGGGGCTGTCCCGGAAATCTGTCCCCAAGGACAGTGGTGCCCAATGCCACTCACCTCCCCCAACACACTCCTTCCTCCGTAGGACATGAGGGTTATATCCATCCTGCCCACCCACAGCTTCAGATCCTGCTGGGACATCTCATCAGAGACCCCGCTGGTGACCCCAGAGATACAGGGCAAGTCCCTACACCAGGTATCATTCATCCGGGCTCTCTTTTTCCTACAGCCATCTCTAGGACCTTTCCCCTGGTAGTGAATTCTACCTTCACAGAGCACACAAGAACTTGGGAAACACTGGGTGCCCAGCTAAGTTTCTATGGCAAACACTCCTGGATCCCTGTATTTAGGAACCCCAGCATCTCCATGTGGTGTGGACAGCCCCAAGGCCAGGACAGTCAGGGAGTGAGCCTGTCCTTCTCTTAGTGACAGAGACCCCAACAGCTTTGTCCTCAAAACAACACAGAGCAGGAGACCCAGGGAAAGCAGGGTCTAGGGTAGGAGAGGAGAGTCTTCCTAGACAGACTCCACCCCGGTCACATGATAGAGGCGTGCCCAGGGCTGGGAGGAGGCTCAGCTCAGAGGAGAAAGGACAGCAGAGCTGAGCAGCCCTGCAGGGCAGCCTTTCTGAAGCAGCAGCTCTTCAGGGAGGGAGGACAGAGCGGGCAGCAGAGACTATGGAGCCCTGCTCAGCCACTTCCCACAGAGGCCTTGTTCCCTGGCAGGGCCTCCTGCTTGCAGGTGAGAGGGGACAGTCCCTGAGGGAGACAGGGGAAGATGAACACATAGCTACTGATGAGGTCCATGAAGAGGATAACACACTGAGTGGACAGAGGTTTCTGTGAGGAGCCTGAGGGGAGGGGATTACAGAGGCATAGAATCCCTCAGGGGATGGGAACTAAAACAGGAGGATGAAAAGCTCTACTTTTCTCTCATGTGATTTAGTCAATATTAGGCAATTGTTTTGTTTTTTCACACAGGGACTCCCAGTGCATTTCAGGCTGGATTAGAATTCCTGCCTCAGCCACCAGGTGCTGGGATTATAGGCCGGGGTCACCACACCTGGCAGGGCACAGCATTGTGAGAACTCAGGTTCACAAGTTCAGGGTGACTCTCTGAAGAAAAACGTGACTGGGGTATTAGGTATTGGGAGGCCTGGCTCATTGATCCACAGGTATCTGGGGCTGTGCCTGACCCTGGGCTCCAAAGGAGAGCTGACAGGAGCCTGGGCTCACAGAGACCTGGGCCTAGTGGGAGGTAAACACGCCAGCAAGGCCAGCTAGAGCGGAAGTCAGGCGTTGGCAAGGGCTACAGAGGGAAGAAAGCAGGAAAAGGAGAGGAATGAAAGACCCAGCTCTGTCTGTGAGGGGTCAGAGAAGGCGGCTGCCCAGGTGCCCAGAGTGAGAGCAGGACCAGAGGGCAGCGAGCAGAGACCGCGCGGACAGCTAGGGAAGAGGGCTCCAAACAGGGAATGACAGGTTCAGGGGCACAGAAGGGTGCTGCTGCTGACCTCAGCCCAGTCACACACACACACACACACACACACACACACACACACACACACACACACCATTAACACTAAGCAAGGAAAACATGGCCATCCAATATATATTTTTTCTTTTTTTCTAGCATTAATGAATTTCTCTCTCTCCCAGTCTCACTTTTAACCTCCTGGACCCCACCGACCGCTGCTCAGGTTACCATTGAATCTGTGCCTTTCTATGCTGCTGAAGGGGGAGATGTTCTTCTACTTGCCAAGAATTTGCCAGAGAACAGTAGAGTCTATAAGTGGTTTAAAGGTGACAGGTCTGAGTCCACCAAAGAGATTGCAGCATATGTGGTAGAAACTAGCACTGCCACTCACGGTCCTGCATACAGCAACCGAGAGACAATATACCACAACGGATCCCTGCTGTTCAAGAACCTCACCCTGCAGGACTCAGGAGTCTACACCCTACACATCATTAAGGAGGATTATCTGAGTGTTGAAGCTTTTGGACAATTCCGGGTACTCCGTGAGTTCTCCATGACCTCTGGGTGTGGGCTGGGGTAAATTCCCCTTCATGCTCACACAAAACTGTCCGTCCTAGATTGTGTCCCCCAACCCTGTCACCTCATGTCCCCAATTGCACATTAGGCATGGTGTGCAGGACACATGCAGTGGAGTAAACTTCAGCAGACTGGAGTCCTCTACCTGAACCCACCCAGCACAGGAAGGAGAGTTGGGTGGATTAATGTGATCCAGGGAGATCCTCTCCATGCCTCCCCCAACTCCCTTCCTGTTAGCACAGCCCCAAGAGTGCCTCTGAGGAACCCAGACAGGGCCTGGCATGAGGGACTCTTGGGTCTCGACAAGAGTCTCAGTCCCTTGAGCCCCTGCCTCAGAGCTTAGTCCTCAGCTCCTCACTACATGTGGCTGTGGGGAGCTGCTTCTCAGGGTTAGAGTTTGATCCACTGATTAAAGATGATGGGGAGGAATAATTTATTGCCTGGCTGGACCAAAGTGTCCCTAAAGCTGCTCACCAACCAGAGCAGCAACCCAAGGGCCACATCGGGGTTAGGGCACCTGGAAGTTCTTTCTCTTGAGGCTTGGCATATGCACACAGGTGACAGGCACCTCAGGGCATTAGCTCCCTTGATGGACTTAGGAGACCCCGCAAGAAGCTCAGTGTGCCCAGGGCAAGCACAGAGGAGAATGAAATTCCTGAAAGTCCCTGTCCATCCAGATTCCAGGTCATTCTGTGTTGGGGGCAAATATGAGATTGCTGATTAGGCATGGAGTATGCTAATGGTGGGTAACTGAAAGCATCTCTGGTTGATTTATCAATAACTTAACAAACAAGATTCCATTTCCCATGGATCCCATAACAGGGAGGCTTAGGCACAAAGAAATACAGTTGCTGGGCCAGGGTCACACAGCCCATGGTGCACTTCACAGGCATTACATAGCTTTGTAAACTCAGCCTTGTGATCTCTACCTGGGAAGATTTGTTGGTATCTGTTATTGATGCGTGCTTTTTAACCTTGGTCCTTACTAGCTGACAGAGTGTGGTTGGATCAGAAAGACCAAATGTAGAAGTAGTCAATTCTTCCTCTAGAATTAAATCAGCTGCTTCAGCACCATGTCTGGGGCTTCCTCCTGAGGCAACAGATCCACAGCCTCCTTCACTAGGCTTCGTATCCTATCTTTCCTGGTGTGCTGAGAATCACTTTGCTGAAGTATAAAGGAGAGGGCTTTGCTGTCTCACTCCCCACTACATCATGAAACCAGCCTGCCCAATTATGGCCAATTCAATAGTGTTGTGATGACTGAAGGGAAGAATGAGCAGTGAGTGAGTGAATCAGTGAAGGAAGGAGTGGCCCAACCCCTTCAGAGACTGAGAGACCCACACAGCGTCCTTGAAAGTTCCAGCCACAGTAGGAGCCTGACCTTTTTAGAGTCTGAAATCTTTCCTGTCTTCCTTAGTCACCTGCTCCTAAGGCCACACTAGGAGTCACCTCACACAGTGACCCTAGTAATGCTTGTCTGTGGGAAGCCTTCGCAGAATGTTGTTTGGTTCTGAGGCAGCTGTGGGAATCTTGGTGTCTGGTGCTTTTGAAACCACAGACACTGCGTGGCTCTATGCAACAGCTATTTCTGCTCTTTCCCTCTTCCTGCCCTCGACTTCCTCCCCATCAGTTCAGGCCACAAGCGCCCATGGGCTCTGCATGCTTTCCTCCCTCACTGATGGCATATGGTTCTACTACCTCTTACTAACATGTGGAGCGAAGTCCACCCTGCTGGGCAGTACAAAAGGTCACAGAAATAAGAGCAGCCCATCCTCTAAGGCTCTGTCATGAGGCAGTGTCCCCATCTGTGGGTGAGCCTTCCCTGTGTCCTGCTCAGGGGCTTTTTCCTTCCATAGTGCCAGTAGGTAGCACAGGACCCAAGCAAGGCCCAAGCTTGTCCTCTGTGCTGATCCAGCCGGGGTTCACAGGCAGAAGGACAGAATTGAAGGCCTAGAGGCCTGGGCTTGGCTACCCATATTACTCTCAACTCTGTCCTGCTCCCAATGGGGGGCTCACATCTCTTCAGAGCCCCCCTAGTCTCCCTGTGGAGAAGGTGGTCTGACAAGTACTGTCTGAAGGGCTCCCTGCCTGTGTCTCACAACTTGTGCCCCAACGGCAACACCAGGATCACAGGTGTGTCCCATAACATGGTCAGATGCATCAGCATTGTGATGACTGAGGGGAAGACTCAGTCATCATGTTAGGAGACTATGTGTGATCTGGAAGAAGTGAATAAAACCCCAGTTGTCATTCCTGGGGACAAAAAGAAAAGCCAGCAGGAATTTTATGTGGGTGCTTGGGTTTCTGCCTATAGTGCCCCATTCCCAGCAATAGGGAGCACAGACTTCTGTATTTCCTAATATGATGCACACTCTCTTGGAATTTGCTGTCAGGCCTTCTTTGTAAGAGAGATGCCTCAGGCCTCCTCTCTGACAAGGTCTGCCCACACAGCAGGGCTCACAAATCTCCCACTAGGGGTGGCTGATTTCAAACTGACCTCAGGAACTCTGATTCAGAAGTAATCCTGAAAGTCTTCAGAGTTTGGCGTAAGATCATCTGGTTCTCCTAGAGAAATATTTCTTTCTGGAATTAGACTTAGATCATGGGTAGAAATGGCAATTTTCCCATACAGCAGAAATTTAACTTCTAAAATTGTAACCCTAAAACTCACATGGTCCTCATCTTCTACTATAGTGGAGGACATTAGAGACAAGGACAAGAGAGTGATCCAGCTCTCTAAAGTCTGTCCCCTCCCACTTCATAGCCCATCCAATGCACGTGTACTCATGGCAGTCTCCAGTGAACCCCCCAGAAGCCGCTCCCCATATGATGGCCTCAGGCTGGCCAGTGAGCTGAAGGCTTGGTGCTGTCCCTGTCCTGTGTGTTTTCTGTACACACAATGATACTGCAACAAGGCTTGGGGTCTTCTCTAGGCTTGAGCACAGTGGTGGTCCATCAGGACTTGTCTCTAGCACAGCCTGGCAGAACAAACCCCAGACAAAACACCCTGGGCTGAAGAGTGGAGTACTGGGCAGCTGCAGGGGCTCAGCACCCACAGGAGCCAAGGCAAACCAGGGGCTGACAGCGAGGCCAGAAGAGGTGCTGGCGTCTATCCATGGCAATTATTGTGGTTTATTTTATGCATAACAAAGCCTGTATTTTTCCCAGACAAATCACAGGCTGCCTCTTGGTTGGGTGCTCAGGTCCTCGGTCCTCTGCCTGTGAGACACACTCCTGTCTGCTGTAAGGACTCAAGTTGGCAGAGAAATGAGAGAGCTCAACTGATGAAAACGCCTTTGCCCAGATCAAAGATGTCACATAGTGCAATCTTCTGTTTTCTTCACAGTGGTGTTACCCAAACCCAACATCACAAGCAACAACTCCAGCCCTGTGGAGGGTGAGGAACCTGTAGTATTAACATGTGAACCTGAGACTCAGAACACAACCTACCTGTGGTGGATAAACGGTCAGAGCCTTCAAGACAGTGATAGGCTGAAACTGTCTAATGACAGTAGGATTCTCACTTTATTCAGTGTCACAAGGAATGACACAGGACCCTATGAGTGTGAAAACCGGAACTTAGTGAGTGGCAGCCGAAGTGATCCATTCACCCTGAATATTTACTGTGAGTAACCTCTATTCTCCCATGGTCCCAGCTAACCCTCCAATCAGCACAGTCAGAGGCGGAGACCAGCCCACTCAGTCTCTCTCTCAAGTCCAGAAAGCAGGCCCTCATGCTTGGATGCTTGTGTTGACCACACCATCCTGGCCCTGCCATCCACACAGGCCTGACCTTCAGCCAAGACCAGGAGGGGACAGGCTTCTCCTACCTGTGGAGATTCATTAGCCACCTGTGATTGAAAAACAGGGAAAATTGAGGCTCAGTGAACACTGAGGGATATGACTGGGACTTTTTTTCTGGGTCTGTACTATGGGGGATGGAAACTAAGGCCTTTTGCATCATAGGCAGGTGCTCTACCACTGAGTTATACTCTAACCTGGTTGGGACTTGCTAAAATCAAGGCTGTGACTTGGTGCAGAGAGCTATTCAGGCTTCTCCACACCAGGAGCTTCCCCTTCCCTGCAATGACATCACATATGGCTTTATTCTGTTTACTTAGATGGCCCGGATGACCCTATCATACTGCCCCCAGAGACCTATTTCCCTCTAGGGACAACCCTCAACCTCTCCTGCCATGCGGCCTCTAACCCAGCTGCACAGTATTACTGGCTTTTCAATGGGAGCTTCCTGCAGTCCACGCAGGAGCTTCACATCCCTGACATCTCTGAGAATAATATTGGATATTACACCTGCCTCGCTAATAACTCTGCCACTGGCCTCAGCAGGAGCACAGTGAAGACTGTTATAGTAGCTGGTAAGTGGACCCTGGACCAGCAGCACCAAGCTCTTGGCGGGGGGGGGGGGGGGGTCATTTGATGGTCTGGAAATAGCGGAAAGAAGTGGATTCCCAGCCCGTGTGTGTATATACAAAGGACCCTGCAGCCTCCCCGAGCATTCTGCCAGCTCCCTGAGACTGCTCTCCCCTTACTTCCCTGATTTCTCTTGGCTGAGCTGGAGTTGAGCCTGGAATGTAGACAGCAGGTTCTCATCCCTGAAAGCCCCTAGGAGTGGGCAGAGATTCACAGATGGGGGAGGGCCCTTGCTAAGATCAAGGCTGTGCCTTGGTGCAGAGGGGAGGGCCCTTGAGGTCAAATAGCTTCTTTCTGTCACTCGTCCCTTCTGTCATTTGTTTTCTTTACCTCCTCTGTGAGCCAGAAGTAACCCCTAGGCCTTTGAACTATCTTTGAGGTCCTTATCTCCAAATTAAAGATGGAAATCCCCTTGGAGGACCTCAGCAGCTCCCAGCTCTGCTCTAGCCTGCTGCAGTGCCCAGCTCTGCTCTGGCTCTAGCTGGGCTGGTGGAAAAGTAGCCCGCAGTCTCCTAAATCAGATCCTCAGAGGGCATCTCAGCCTCTCCACCCACCGTGTAAGGAAATGAGAAAGCACAGCTCAGGGCAGATGCCCCTGAGCTTGGTCCTGCTCTGAAGTCCCAGCTGTGTGAGGCTGAGGACAGAACTGCTGGTGAAGCACTGTGGACAGAAGGGAGTGTTACACACTTGGGGACCTGGGGACTTCACTGTGGAGTCACTGCTGGAGGAAAGGGCAGGGCCATAAGGGGTGTATTTGTAGAGGGAATGAGGTCAGCCTTTCAATAACACTCTGACCATTTATCTCTGCTGCCTTCCTCCACTGTGGTATGTAATGCACAGGCCAGGAAATAAAAGTCTTTTCCAAAGTGACGTGCTTTTCAGGGTAGAGGGACCTCAACTTTTTCTGTCACAGAGGGCACTGCAAGACATCATGCAGAAGTCAATGGGACGCTGTCCTGGCTTTTTCTCATGATAGCCCATGTTGCCCTCTCCAGAGTAGCCTTTTTTTTTTTGTCTTTTACTCAGCCCAGGTTTGCTCTGCAGATCCAGTTCCCTGACCCTCACACATTTCTCTGCTTTTAGTTTCTTAATTTTTCTCTTTTTTTTTTTTTTTTAACTCAGGGGTTGGACTCAGGTCCTTGCGCTTGTCAGGGAAGTGCTTATTCTACTGAACTGTCTCCCTGGTGCCCTATTCCCCTATTTTTTTCTCTTTTTTATTCCCTTCCCTTCCCTTCCCTTCCCTTGCCTTCCCTTCCCTTCCCTTTCTTTTCTTTCCCCTTTTTTTTTTTTTTTTTTTTTTTTTTGAGACAGTGTCTCACTATGCAGCTCCAGATGGCCTTGAGCTCACTTTTTGGCCCAGGTTGGCCTTGAAATTATGATGATCCTCCTACCTCAACCACCTGCTTTCTTGATTTTTTTTTTTTTTAATGTCAGTAGGAAAAATTATTCTACCTTACAATTCTACCTTACAATTATTCTACCTTACAGTCTGATTTCTGGGCATCACACTAAGGATCCTTCGGATATGTGGATCCTTCTGAGATGTGCAGGAAACGTTAAGGGCCCCTGGGTGCATGGGGTGGAGAAGGAGGTGCACCCCTCTCCTTAATGTCACCCAAACCAAGGTGTGCAATCTCTGTTGAGGGTCGGGGCTGTCCTCCGAGTCACCTTACAGAGCCCACTGTGGCCCAGAATTGGCTGAATATCTGAGGAAAGGGCACAGCTGGGCCCCAGGACCCCACATTCAGTCAATTCCCTCCTCTGTCCACAGAGGTGGTGAAGCAACCCATCATCGAAGCCAGCAACACCACAGTGGAAGAAGGGGGCTCTGTGGTCCTGACCTGTCTCTCAAATGACACTGGAATCTCCATCCAGTGGTTCTTCAATGACCAGCAACTGCAGCTCACAGAGAGCATGAAGGTGTCCCAGAGCAGCAGCATCCTCACCATTGACCCTGTCAAGAGACAAGATGCTGGGGAGTATCAGTGTGAGGTCTCCAACGCAGTCAGTTCCAGCAGGAGTCACCCCCTCAGGCTGGAGGTGATCTGTGAGTGACTTTACCTCTCTTATATCTTCTTGGGGAGGATTTCTCTACCAATAATGTGCAAAATGGCAAAAAGTCACAGGGAATATATTGATTGGGATACAAACACAGCACACAGACTTGTAACGTAGTTAAGAGCTCGGGGTCTGAATCAAATAGATACTCAGCACTCAGTATCCACAGGGACTTGGTTCGAGGAGCCCCACAGACACCAGTATCTGCAGATGCTCTGACGCCTTCTATTAACATGGTGTAGCATTTACATAGGACTGTGCAAATTCTGCCATGTACTTTGCTTATTGGTTTGTTTGAAGTACTAGGGATTAAGCCTAGAGCCTTCACACTAGGATGATGTGTGAAGCGACATTCCTATCCTTTTTTAAAAGTTTATTTTTTCTTTGTTTTAAATTGTGATACATTCTCATTATATCACAAAGATTCTAAGGCTGAGCTCAAACTTGTGATTCTCCTGCCTCAGCCTCCCTGTAAGCCAAGACTACAGACATGAGTCCCTATGCTCAGTTCTGCCATATACTTTTTTTTGTTGTTGTTGTTTTGTGTTCTGCAGAACCAGGGATTGAACTCAGGCCCTCGAGCTTGCCAAGCAAGGGCTTATTCTACTGAGCTATCTCCCCGGCCCCCAAAAGTGAATTTTATTATTTATTTATTTATTTATTTTGCGGTACTGGGGATTGAACTCAGGACCCTGCACCTGCCAGGCAATCCCATATACTTTAAATCAGCTCTAGATTATTCTAATATCCAACACAATGTAAGTAATTCTTGTGCTGCACTCTGTAAGGAATAATGACAAGAAAAATGTCTGCACATTTTCCACACAGGACCCATTTTATTTTTTCTGAAAAGTTTCAAACTTTTGTTGGTTAAATCCATAAATGGCAGGAAGCCAACCATCCTGACTTGCTTACCCTGTGCCCACCATTTACTGTGACTGTGCACAAGATTCTTTTCTTGTTTATTTGTCTGTTACTGTTTCTTGGCTGTGTGCTAAAATATACATCAGATTTATTAGTTTAGCCATTTTGACATGTACAGCTGTGACATTAAGTATAGTCATATAGTTATGTAACATTACCACTACCCTTTCCAGAATTTTCCATCTCACCACACTAAACCTTCATACTCATTACATACCTCCCCATTCTACCTCTGTCCCAGCCTCTGATAACCACCATTCTTTCTGTCTGTATGTATTTATCTTCTACACCTGTCACACAAGGGAAAATTCTACAATGTTTGTTCTTTTGTGTCTGGTTGAATTCACTTAATCTAATGTCTTCAAGGTTTATCTATTTTGTGATATATACCAGAATTGTTTTCCTTTTTTTTTACCTTTTTAAAATGCTATTCTGTTGTATGGATAGACTGCTTTATGGGGTAGGCCTCATTTTGCTTCATCCATCAATGGACTCGGGTTGTTCCCATGTTTGGTCTGTTAATAATGTTGCTATGTAGCAAATATGCAAGTATCTGCTCAAATCCTTGATTTCAATGCTTTTATATATAAACCTAGCTGTAGACTTGCCAAATGAGAAACTCTTGCTCTAGTTTTTGAGGAACCACTCTACTGTGTTCAACAG